TTGAGCTTTGACCTATGAACCCGAGGTCATGGTTCAATTCCGGGTCAGGGCACATGCCCAGGTTGTGGGCTCGAACCCCAGTGGGGGGCGTGCAGGATGCAGCCAATCAATGAATCTTTGTCATTATTGATGTTTCTGTCTCCCTCTCCCTTCTTCTCTGAAATCAATAAAAAAAATATATTTTAAGAAATTGTGATGAAATATGTCATATGATAATGACATATGTGTAAAGACAAATAATAGGTGGGCAATCATGAGCCACCACCCAGTGTAAGAGGTACGGTGTGCACCGACACGTAGACGTCCCCGTGTGCTTCTCCCCGTCACGCACACCTCCCTCTGCACGTGACTTGCGTGTTTATCATTCTCTTCTTTTCTCCATCTGCAGTGTACATGTACCTAAACAACACACTGTTTTGTTTTGCCTATTTTTTATTTTGTTTTGTTTTTGTTAATCCTCACCTGAGGATATTTTTCCATTGGTTTTTAAGGAGGGTGGAAGAGAGAGGGAAAGACAGAGAGAAACATCGATGTGAGAGAAACACATAGATTGGCTGCCTCCTGCACGAACCCGGACTAGGGCCCTCGCTGGGAAGGAGCCTGCAACCAAGGCATGTGCCCTTCACTAGGATCGAACCCAGGACCCTCCGCAGGCTGAGGCTCTATCCACTGAGCCAAACTGGCCAGGGCTGTTTTGCCGATTTTTGAGCTTTATATAAATGTGTTCTTCTTTGACTTGCTTCTTTTTTTGTTGTTGTTGTTAATCCTCACCCGGTGATATTTCCTATTGATTTTTACAGAAGGGTAGGGCGGGGGAGAGACAGAGAAAAACATTGATGTGAGAGATATACATCAATTGATTGCTGCACACACCCTGATCAGGGCCAGGGGTCAGGCCTGCAACTGAGGTTCGTGCCCTTGACCGGAATTGAACCCAGGACCCTTCAGTCCGCAGGCTGACACTCTGTCCACTGAGCCAAACTGGCCAGGGCTGTTTTGCCGATTTTTGAGCTTTATATAAATGGACTCATTACATGTGTTCTTCTTTGACTTGCTTCTTTTTTTGTTGTTGTTGTTAATCCTCACCCGGGGATATTTCCTATTGATTTTTACAGAAGGGGAGGGCGGGGGAGAGACAGAGAAAAACATTGATGTGAGAAATATACATCAATTGATTGCTGCACACACCCTGATCAGGCCCAGGGATCAAGCCTGCAACTGAGGTTCATGCCCTTGACTGGAATTGAACCCAGGACCCTTCAGTCCACAGGCTGACACTCTGTCTACTGAGCCAAACTAGCCAAGGCTTGATTTGCTTCTCTCACCAACATATTTTAAAGACACACCCACGTTGATTGGTGCTGTTCATAGTTCATTCATTTTCACTGCTTCAGAATGGACATCAGAGTGTGTCTTAGTACGTTCGGACTGTGTAACAAAATACCACAGGCTGGGTAGCTTATCAGCAACACAGGTATTCCTCACAGTCCTGGAGGCTGGGAAGTCCAAGGTCGAGGTCCCAGCACAGTTGAGTTCTGGTGAGGACTCACTTATGTGCTCACTCCCAAAGGCCCCACCTAATGCTGTCATCTTTGGGGGTTCAGAAATTCAGACCAAAGCAGTGTGGTTTCCGGTGTGGGCTGTCACAGTGCTGCTAAATGGGTGCTCTCCACAGCTCTCTGGTGACAGGCGAGTTTCCCTCGGTCCTGTAACGAGGGGTGGAAAAGCTAGGTCACAGCTAGCAGCATGTTTAGCTTTAATGAATGATACAAAGTGTTCTTTTATTATTTATTTGTTTATATTGATTTAGAGAGGAAGGGAGAGGGAGAGGGAGAGGGAGAGAGAGAGAGAACGAGAGAGAGAGAGAGAGAGAGAGACATCAGTGATGAGAGAGAATCATCGATTGGCTGCCTCTTGCACACCCCCCACTGGGGATTGAGCCCATAACCTGGGCATGTACTCTGACCGGGAATCGAACCGTGACCTCCGGGTTCATAGGTCGACACTCAACCACTGAGCCACGCCAGCTCGGCGACTACCTGGATTTAGGTCACAGTTGTCCCCATTTTGCCAAAACAACCTCTGTGCGAAGCCCTCCATAATCCTGTGGCTCCTGGTCTCAGAACGCGTGAGAGGAATCTGGGTCCTTAGAAGCTACTATAATAACAGCAGAGAAATCCTGTGCTGTTTTAGTCTCTGCTGGTCAGGTCTCATCCATGGGCCAAGTTGTGAGGCAATCAGCCAACGATGTGCAACTCCTGGAGAAGCCTTTTACTGTGTATAGCTGAGTCTTAGCAGTTCCTGAGCACGAACATTGTGTGTGTGAATTCTCAGTATGCTGTAATAGGCACAAAGTGTGTGAAAACAAATGTCAGGTTCACAGTTAGATTTCTTAACTTTGGGATTAGTCATCTTTGGCCAAGCAAACTAGCATAACGTTTTGTGTTGGCTCCTAAATTAATGGCAAATAAAAAAAGAGATCAACTTAGGTAAAAATCCTGGCTCACAGGTGTGCAATGGGCCTAAACATTCTTTTTCTTTGCTTCAAGGATTTTGATTCTTTCTTCTCTGCAAAAGAAGAGAATATTATTTATTCATTCCTTGGTTTGGCTCCCCCTCCAGGCTCAAAGGTAAGCTTGAACACCTTATGGGGTCCCAATACAGGTCCTAATAAATGAAGCTGGAAATCTGTTTAATAAATGAGGATATTTAAACCAACATGATTTTAATACACTCCTTATTCTGATGAAGTCTTATGCATAAAGATAATGCAAACTTTTTACTAACACATGTTCCAAAACTGTGCTTTTCATATTTTTGCTTCATTATATTTTATCATAAAATAAAAGTAAATAATAAATAAAAGTTTTACAATACTTTAAAAAAGAAATATCATTGCACTCAATAGTCTTAAGTGTGCTAATTAAATATGTAAAAATATGAGTTCCCAGGTTGTGTTTATGAAATTTTGTTATGAATTGACTTCTTATATAGCTTATATTAGTTAATTCTATAATGATACATCCGCTATTTTAATTATTTTTTATTTAAAATAAATTAAACTCTGATTTTTTAGTCTGATAAAGGGAAAAAGTAAGATCTGGATTTAAGATCAAGATACATTTTATTAGTTTTCTTCCCCCAGTCCCGTTTCATCTTTGATTAGGTATAATCATGTCTATTAAATCAAGAATTATGCTAATAAAGTTAATATCATGAATTCCTCTATGATGCTCACCGGCCTCACCCCATGCATTCCTTGGCCATTGCATTCCTTGCCTCTACCAAGATCTCACACAGGACTTTCCATAGATACAAGACATTCTTTCTTTTTTTTTTTTTTTTTTTAAGATATATTTTATTGATTTTTTACAGAGAGGAAGGGAGAGAGATAGAGAGTCAGAAACATCGATGAGAGAGAAATGTCGATCAGCTGCCTCCTGCACACCCCCAACTCGGGATGTGCCCACAACCCAGGTACATGCCCTTGACCGGAATTGAACCTGGGACCTTTCAGTCCGCAGGCCGACGCTCTATCCACTGAGCCAAACCGGTTTCGGCAAGACATTCTTTCTTAATTCATTTGTTTGTTTGTACCCACCTTCATTTCTAAAGAGATTTGTGATGACTGAGCCCAAGTCTATTCTCACTATAGAAGAAACCATTCAAAATCCGACCTTGTAGAGATGGGCTTGCTTTCACATGTCAGCAGTCTCAGGTCATGGCACTGAGCTGTCTTAGCGCTAGGCTGACACACACAGGCCCGGCACTAGCGCCTTCTCTAGGTGGTAACACACAGATTCCACAGTTGTTTTTGAAAATTTACTGGCTCAGAATTTTTTATTATACAGAACCCTGCAGTGATTGTCACCACAAAATAGCGCTCTTTCTTCCGGAGTTCTTTAGAGCTTTCAGCGAGGCAGGCCGAAGTGCTTGGGCATGTTATGGGCTTCAAATGTGACTCCAGATTGCCCCCTGCTAGGGCAGAACGTGAATCCCACCATGCCACGCTGCACCCGCTCCATTGAGCCAACCGTGAGCATGCTTAATCGCCTTGATTTTAGGGCCATCAGATCGTATTTTTAAAAATTGTTTCTGATTTTATTGTGCTATGGAGAGGGAATGTGGTGTGAATTTTCATCACCTTTGTAGCACAATGTGTATTTTTATTTCCCTATGAAAAGACTGTTTTGAATATTAAAAATTAGTTTTCTTAGCAAGCTAATGCGTGTATAGTATTAGGAAGATCAAATAGTGCTACAAGGATTATTGCAAAAGCCGCAGGCCCTGCCCCAACCCTGCGGGTTAACGTTTTCTCCAGCAGCTGCTCAGGTGCAGAATTCTGGATGGACGTCATTTGGCCTCGGAATTGAGAAGGCGCTGGCCGCTCCGTGTTCTCTAGTCCCAGAGTTGCCGCTCAGAGGCCCGACGCCAGTCTGTCTCTTGACCATTTATTTGCACCTGCATTTGTTCTCGTTTCTGGGAGGTTTCAGGATCCTCTTTTTCATCTTGAAGTTGTCTAACGAGGTGCTTGGAATAGGCCTTTTCTTCATATTTGTGCTGGGCCCTTGCCTGCCCCCTTCTGTAGAGAGTAGACCTGCCCATTTGGAGGGGGGGCAGTCATCACAGAGAAATTATGAGG